GAATGATGAGTCGAAAGAAAATAGTCTCAATAGTTCGACAATAGATGGCAGCACAAGTAGCTTACCAAACATATCAAAGGATGAAAGTAACGAATATGTACAAGGACTTCAAAGTCAAATAGAACAGTTAACATCACAACTCAATTCGGCACATGAAGAAATAAAAAATCTAAACATCGAAAATACTGAACTAAGGAAGTCATTGGGCGAATTGACGACTATAAACGAGGTTATAAAGAAAGCCACTAAAAAACTATCAAGTGAAGCACACACACCCAGAAAAGGCTCACAAACATCAACACCTAAAAGCAGTCAACAAAACAAACCAAAAAGAGGCCAAATTAAGAAAAACTTGCGGGTGGAATCAATACAAACCAGCGCAAGTAATTTGAGCACTAGCTCGCGATACACGGCTCCGCACGAGAGCAAAGGTGACGGTGATGTCGTGTTTGACACCACAAAGAAGTTATGCATCATTAGCACAAACAAAACTAATAAGGTACTGTCTCTGGCTCAGGAAACATTTCATAACTATCAAATCTGTCATTATGTCTCGCCTAACTGTGATACTGTGCATCTTGTTAGGGATATTAATAAAAAACTGATAGATTATAATTTTGAAGATTACTGCATTATTTTGATCGGAGAAGAGGATTTTAAAAGAACAAAAAATTATGTGGACATAATTGTCAAACTGAGAGAGGCACTACTTACAGTACAGCATACAAATATTATTATATGTGTACCCACTTTTAAATTGAGTAATTATTCTTCGATGTATAACTGGCGTATAGAAACTTTTAATAATTTGTTACACTTGGATTTACAAACGTTTAACTATGCATTTGGTTTTGATACTAATCTGAGTTTAGAATACGATTACACAATGTTTTCAAAAGTAGAAAGAACAATAAATAATAATGGAATGTGTAACGTTTTACAAAATGTATTGCTAACTATAACTGAGATGTCAGTAGCTCATTCTGAACCTGTCATAGGACGTTTCAATAATAAAAATAACTCTTCTCAAAACCATAACTTTCGTGTATAACAATGTAACCATAATGCACCAAAACATAAACGGGCTTTTAAATAAATCTGCTATGTTTACTGTTGCATTGGATGAGTTGTGTGATTTGGGTGAAACTATTGATGTACTGTGTTTCTCCGAGCATAATATGATTTTGGATGATGTAAATCTGCTGTTTATTCCTAACTTCAATCTTGTAACCTTTTTCACTCGAAAATCTAGACATGGTGGTACTTGTATTATGATACGAAACGGAATTAAGTATCGAGTTTTGGAGTCAATGGAAAGATACAGTGTCCCAAATGTAATTGAGTGTTGCTCAGTCGAACTTACAGATCATAACATAATAGTAATCTGTGTATACAGAAGCCCGCATAGCAACAATTCAAAGAGAAACCTTGAAATATTTTTTAATAATCTAAATAATCTTTTAAGTTCAGTTTCATTTCATATAAATAGAAAGGTGGTACTGTGCGGTGATTTCAATATCGACCTACTAAAAAACACTTACAATTCTACACAATTTAAGTATCTAATTACAGGCTTCAATCTTAAGTTCGATATAAACGTACCAACTAGATTGAGTAGTGGTACATGCATAGACAATATAATCCATAATGTGCGGGGAGCCAGGGGTAAAGTCTTAGAACTAGCAATATCTGATCATACAGCTCAAGTTCTACGGTGCCCAGTTAAAAAAACATGCAGTTTAGATCACTGGTTTACCACAAGACGAGACTACTCTATGGAAAACATAGATAAATTTAAAAACTATCTTAAGAGCATTACTTTTTCCGATGTGTATCAGGAACCGGATTCAAATGAGGCATTCAAGCTGTTCTATGAGTGGTTTGCATTGCTTTATAATTTATGTTTTCCGATTATCAGAATTAAAATGTGTACTAAAATAAAATCAAAATGGATAAGCCGCGGTATTAGGATTTGTAGCAAAAGGAAAAGACAATTATTATGGAAGTACCGTAGGTTGCCAAATGAACAAAATAAACTGAATCTAAAAAATCACTCGACCCGTTTTAAAAAAGTAATAAATCTTACGCAGAGGGCACACAATAATAAATTTATCAGTACAGCTCAGAATCTAGGGAAAGCCACATGGAAAGTCATCAGTAGGAACAAAACCACTATACCAAATGAATATATAATGAAAATCGAAAGTAATCAAAAACTATTAACTAATCCTGACGCAATAGCAGAAGCTTTTAATGACTTCTTTGTAGATCAAGTAAAATTAACTGACCATATCAATATTGACACTTATAAAATGACGATTAATAATAATAAAAATACTTCGATGTTCATGTCCCCTACTTCACCGGTTGACATCCATCGTATTGTAATGTCGCTCAAAAACACGGCTAGCACTGGGTACGATGATATATCTACTAAAATTATAAAACACGTATCCATCATTATTGCACCAATATTGAGTTATCTCATTAATTTGAGCATAGAGTGTGGGACTTTTCCCAGTGAATTAAAAATTACTATAATAAAACCGCTTTTTAAGAAAGACAACAGAGAAAATATGTCCTGTTACAGACCTATTGCTCTGGTACCAATATTTTCTAAGATTTTTGAAAAAGTAATTAATAATCAAATAACTTCATATTTTGAAAAAAATAATTTACTAGTTGACAATCAAAAAGGCTTCAGGAAGAACAAGTCAATTGATATGGCCATATACGACTTTCTAGATAAAGTTAGCAGTCAAGTAGATAAGAAATTACCAGCTGTAGCACTTTACATGGACATGACAAAGGCTTTCGATCGCGTTGATCATAAAATACTCCTAAGTAAACTAAATGCATATGGAATTAGAGGAAACGTATTGAGTCTAATTGAATCCTACCTACATAACAGACGGCAAATGACAGTTATCAGTAGAATCACTAAAGATAGTGAGGTAACTTATAGGTCTGGTCAGAGAACTGTTACTTACGGAGTACCACAAGGTAGTGTCCTTGGCCCGACTCTGTTTATTATTTACATAAATGACTTTCCAACATCATCAACATATCCAATGACCATGTTTGCAGACGACAGTACCTTACTATTTGATGGTGATGACTTAGAAACATTAGAAGCAGATATAAATGTTAACATTGAATCTGTTGTAAATTGGTTAAAACATAATAATTTAATCATAAACCTAGATAAGACGGCAATAATGAAATTTGAACAGCGAATGGATCAATACAAAAATTTAATCGTACAATATCAAGGAAAAAGTATTAATGAAACAAATGTAACAAAATTTCTAGGACTAAGTATACAGAAAACATTGAAATGGGATGTTCATATAGATAAAGTGTGTAATAAGTTAAATAAATATTCCTATGCTCTTCACATGTTAAATAAAACTGCAAACCGAAAAACAGTGTTGACAGCATACCATGGTCTAGTAGCATCAACATTAAGATATGGAATAATTTTCTGGGGGAATGCAACCGGTAAAGAAATGGTATTCAAGTGTCAAAAAAGATGCATTAGGGCTATTTGTAATCTGCAGTCTACCGACAGCTGCTACACTTTCTTTAAAGACCTCAAAATTTTGACGGTCCCCTCATTATACATCTATGAAACTGGTACGTTCGTCAAAAACAATTTTAATAATTTTGACCGAGTAACCAGTCAACGTCGTTGTGACCAGTTACACTTATTAAAATCTAGAACTGCACTGTACAGGAACAGTATCTTTGCAATGGCTCCAAAAATTTATAATAAACTGCCTAAATATATAAGAAACGAAAATAATATTAGACTTTTTAAACGAAAACTGACATTATTTTTAATTGGCAAGACATATTATTCTATTGACCTATTTCTAAATGATAAATTTTGACATACTATCACGATTCTTATAGACTTGTTTAATTTAAATATATTAATAATGCTTGGTACCTGCCTAACTTAATAACTATTTGTACACCAATTTTATTGGTAGAACATAGAGATGCTATTAAAGTATGTTAAACAACCTTCTGTATAACCTGTGTTCACAAATAAATTGATTTGATTTGATTTGATTTGATACATTAATTTGTGAGAAAAGAAAAAATATGTGTTTAATGTTTTAAATAAATCTACGAGACGGACAATATAATACAATTTAGGAAACTACCCTATTGTTATCGGTAACAAAAACGTGTTATCATCATTAATTTTAGTTGATTGATAAGATAAACTTTATGAAATAACAAAATAATAACTAAAGTTAATGAATATATTTCATCATCCTAAAGCGCATTCATTAGTACGTATGCTAGACATCGAATTTGTCGGCAGAAAATCAGAAATCTAAAGCTGAAGCTAAGTAAACTAAATTAAGACTCAAAATACAATGTCCACGCCCAAGATAGAATCCTGTATCTCATAGAATACTATTGGAACTACTCGAACGATGATACTGTGTAGGTATGTTAGGTACACTCGGCTACACATCGAGCTTTACATAACCAGTATAAACTGAACGTTAAATGTGCGGAAAGATGATGCGACGCGACACCAGGATAAACTGGATTTGTATAGTGTGGCCGTGTGTATAAGAAAAATAGATAAAACATTAATTATGATGATGACATTCTAGATATTTTTACAATGAGCAAAATATTGTATCGTAATGTATTTCGCCCGCCTTATTTGCTCATTTAGACTATCTACGTATTGCATTTTCTAAATGCAGATTTTCTTAATTAAAGTAATCTCAGGATCATTGTCTCTTTCGTCCAGTGACACTCATTTTATGCTATATATCCTCTATAATCCTCAAATGCCTAATCCCTAAAAGGCCGATAATGCACTTGTAACACCTCTGGTGTACCGGGTGTCAATGGGCGACGCCAATTGCTTACCATCAGGTGGTCCATCTGCTCGTTTACCGACTTATACCATAAATAATGTATAATATAATAATATTTGAACGCGCTTATCTCCGGAACTACTGGTCTGATTTAAATAATTATTTTTGTGTTAGATAGTGCATTTATCGAGGAAGGCTATATGCTACATAACATCACGCTGCAATCAACATGAGGTGATCAGGGCGTGTGAAAGCGTGTAAAAGTAGCAAAGAATAAACTAACATTACATCAATACAAATAATATTAAATTCAATCTCTCTTTCAATAATTTATCTAATCATTGAGATAATCCTGTTATAGAAACATATATATAAAACAAATAATTATAAATCGTTTTAGTCCTGCTAATTCGGTCACAATGGCGCATTACAACTTTGAAGGCAATATCTCAAACGTTAATGACCGTCAGTTGGAATTCATTAAAAGTGCTATCGAAGACCTTGGGTTTAAGGAAAGCAAAGTGACATTTGAAGCAGTTGGAGCAGCTGGAGACAATTATGCTGCAACAGTGAAAAGAATAATCATAGAAGGAGACAACGGGAAGCTGGCGATGATTGCAAAGATAGCACCAAGTAATGAAAACATGCGACTCCGTCTGAACGCTCCCCTCACATTCGGCAATGAACACATAATGTATAAAAAATTCTTACCAAAGTTGACACAACTACAGAAACAAGCAAACATACCTGAAGATGAAATCCTAAAGTTTCCAAAATGCTATGGATCGAGTGTTGAGGCGCCTAACGAAGTAATTCTTCTGGAAGATCTCAAAGAAGATGGTTTTGTTATGATGGATAGACTGAAACCCCTATCAGAAGAATGTGTAACCAGCGTATTGAAGAATTTGGCTGTATTTCATTCACTCTCATATGTATTAAAGAACAAGGAGCCAGAAACCTTCAATTACTTCAAGGACAATTTGAAAAACATGTGGGCAGCGTTAGTAAATGCGCCTTCGGAAGACCTGGCTTCTTTGGAATCCATAGAACAACTTTACATGGGTGTAGTGGATAATGAGGAGTATAAGAACTTGATAAAGCACAAAATATGTCAACTTGGGCCACTAAATGCTAAAATGTCTGTAATAGAACCTGCTAGTAGGTATGCAGTCATACATCATGGCGATGCATGGACTACAAATTTTATGTTCAAGTTTAAAGTAAGTACTTGTTCGGTCTTTTAATGAAACTGTACAATTGGAGCTTCAGAAGTTGAATATGGACCCTGAAAAACCAATTGCATGGCAAGGGCATGGACCAAGCGTCCGCGGATAATTATAATTTAATATTGAAAAAAATGTATGTCCAGTGGTGACCCGGAGGTTTAAGACGCCCGCTTCTCATGCATGAGGGTGTCGTTTCGAAACTTAACAACAGCATGTACCAATGTGACTTTTTCCGAGTTATTTATTTATTTATTTATTTATTTATTTATATATGCTTTATTGTACACATTTATGTAGTTTAAAACAAACAATTTAAAAAAAAAAAATTATAAACCCAATTCAAGTAAATATGCGTACAATGGGCGGTCTTATCACACAATGGTGATTTCTTCCAGACAACCTTTGGATGGAAATATTTGTAAGAAACCAGATAAGGGGTAGTTACGTGTACAAAAAAAAAAAAAAAAAAAGACAAAATAAAAAAGCCTACAATACAACCTACAATAGATATAATATACTAGCAACATATAAAAAGAAATACATAAATAATATACAAAAATACAATAAGCTATGTGTGTGTGTTTGTGTATGTGTGTGTGCGTGTGTGTGTGTGTGGGTGTGTATTTGTATGCGTGTGTATGTACAATTAATGAAAGGAGAAACAGAAGCTTATAGTGTGAGAAAGTGCTCCTTCACAAGGTGTTTAAACTGACGCAAAGTCCGGGCACGCCTCACCTCGATAGGCAATTCATTCCACAATCGAGCCGCTTGAACCGTATAAGATTTATCGAAGAAGGAAGAGGAATGTATAGGTATACTTAATTTAAGATTCTCCAGTTCGAGTTATATGTACTTTCTAAGATTTTCTAGACACCACTGACGTCATTTGATGAAGGAAATCATCGTGAGGAAACCTGGGCTAATAATAAGTTTGTAATCACCAATCCCATTGAGTAAGCTTGGTGATTAATGCTCAAACCTTCTTTATAAAAGGTCATCGAGATCCAACTACCAACCGAATTGAGAAATCAATACATATTATTTGGTCATTCATTGCGACTAAAATTAATTACAGCATATAAATGATTCAAGATGTCTACTAATTTCATCATTTAAATTAAATCCAAATTTTCTGACACACACCTTGATAAGATGATAAGCGTAAATGCATTTGTTTCACATTCGTTTAATAATTTCAGGGTGACGAATTGGACCAGTCAATATTGATCGACTATCAACTCTCTAAAATCTCAAGTCCTGCCACTGATCTCCTGTACATGATATTTAACTGCACAGACATAGAATCCAGGAGGAAAAACTATCACAATTGGTTGGATTACTATCACCTAGAATTAGATAAGTCGTTGTCTAATTATGGTCTGAAAGCTAGCCGTGTGTACTCCAGAGAGCTATTAGATGCTGATTTAAAAAGATACGGGAAATTAGGATTTGGGAGTTGCCTACTCGTGTCTAATATCATGATTGCAAACTCAGAGGAGGCATCGAAATTCAAGGACTTCTTCGAATCGGACACGGAGGCATTAGCAGATAGTTTTTATGAGATCCACGATGACACAGCTGTTCTGTTAAGGAAAAGGATTACTGGACTCATTGAAGATTTTTATGCCTTTGGTTTATTATAGTTTTGCTTGTTGTACGTGTAGGTTTGGTTGTGAAAGTATTATATCTGTTACACTTATGTACATGAGTTTTTTTTAAACCTATTGTATATAAATCTATTTTAGTAATTTTTTTATGGCATTAGCCGATAAACGAGCAGACGGATCACCTGATGGTAAACAATCGGCGTCGCCCATGGACGCCTGGAACACCAGAGGCGTTACAAGTGCGTTACCGGCCTTTTGGGGATTCAGGGATTGGGGAAGGGGAGGGTAATTGAGCCTCCGGTAACCTCACTCACACGACAAAACACAACGCAAGCGTTGCTTCACGTCGGTTTTCTGTGAGGCCGTGGTATCACTCCGGTCGAGCCGGCCCATTCGTGCCGAAGCATGGCTCTCCCACACTTTAAATTAACCACTTTTAATTTTTTTATGCCACAAAATTGTACAACGCCGTTTTTTCTTATTAAGCAGCTTATTGTTAGTACTGTTTTAAAATACGTGTGTATTTTTGTTTTTTATTTTATTTTTGTGAACCATTACAAGTTGTCATTTATCTCAATTGCATATTTTAATTTTTATATATTAAATTAGTCGATAAATAACGTGCATGTTGTGATTTCCTTTAATTAAAAGAGTGTAGGTACCTACTTATCTAACCTAAAATTTTGTATGATTTACATGGCATGTGCTGTGCACATCTTTTGTTGGAGATCCAATGTAAATAAATAAAAAAAATGTATTCTACTCTATGCACCTAAACTTAATCTTAATCCATTAGGGGTTAGACATATTTCCTACCAGTTGTTTATAAATGACGGTGAGCTAAGTACGGACCATGTATGTGGCAGTGAAAGCTGTCCCTCTGCCCCCTCCTATTTTTAATAAGCTTTCTTTTAAAGATGCTACCTTAAACAAACACCCATATAAGCAATAGATATTTAAAATAAATACGGGATGCTTAGGTGTACTTTAATCTCGCGACAAGCTTTTAAATTAAGCATTTATTGTATACTTAGTTGTTTTTGGAAGGAGGATATAGGCCTTTGCTCTGCGGTGGGACAATCACGACTGAAAATTATATAAATAATTAATGGTCATGCAAACTTAACATGTATACATGTCAATTGGTTGAAGATATCTGCTTCAAAATGTTGTTATAAAATTTCGAACCTGTACACTGCATGCAACTTTAAAGCTTGTAAAAAGAGTAAAATGAAAAATAACTTTCTGTCGATTAACTAAAAATCGCTTTTTACTCACGTGAATATATTGAGAAAAGCTCTATCAGTTTCGAACCACAGAGGGGTTCTTCCTCATGAGTAGCGTGCTCGGTCGCGGCGACGTCGCGCATCCTGCTTTCTGTGGATTTTCTATTACTCGATTCTTTATTTGAAAAATAACGTGCCCCTTAAAGGCGCATTGTGCCGACGCATTTTCTTATCACTTTCAGATCACCATGTTGTACAAACTGCATAAAAGCGGGGTCCTCACTGGATCATTAAACTGCTACTGCCTGGCATGTGACACCTTCTTGACGACTCACCAAGAAGCTGATCAACATTTAGGGACGTCTCCTCATCAGAAGAGCCTTCTCGCAATCCCGTACTTAGATAAATTTAAAGAGGAACACATAAGAAAGGTTAGTGTTTGTTTATAAGTTATAAAATAGGTACCTAAAAGAAAATTCTGATTTCTATATTCAGAGGTATAACTTGACAGTGACTGGACTTGATTAGGTTTAATTAGTTGATTATGTAATTCATTTTCACTAAAACCTGAATTCTGAGGCCCAGAGCCCAGTTTGTTGTTGACCCAATCTAAATAATTCTCTTACAGCGAAAACTGGTGTGCGTTACCCAGGCCAGATGTTGTCGAAAATGGTCATTTGAATCTTATAGATAATTAGTTGTGCGGCTTTTGTAATTGTTGCGCATATTATTAAATTTGTTGTGCTTATAGTTTTTTAATTATTTCGCAAAAACATTTCCTGCTGGGGTAACGTTACCCCAGCCAGACCTCTTTCTTTCTAATGGGAATGTTTAAATAATTACTAGCTATAACATTAGTTGTCTAGATGAAGTACCTATAAGATTCAAATGACCATGGTCTGGGCAACGCACACCGAAAACTGGACCTCCCTTCAAATATCCAACTAACGGAGTAACATAATGTGTATTTGTGTTTGTGTATTTTATGTTGAACATTTGCATGAATGTTGCAGTTCCAAACGGGTTACTACTGCGAGTTTTGCAACATAATGCTCCCGACTGCTTCCAAAGTTAATCTTCATTTAACTGAAGACGAGCATGTTACGAACAAGGGACTTTGCCTTCTGCTGCCAAGGGGCGGTGGTGTTGTGGCTTTTGACAACATTTTTATAGAAGAAAACGCATGGCATAGCCTTATTGATGGTGTTTGTTCAATCTGCAATGAAGAATTTGATGAAGGCGAGGAGCACAAAGCGTCCGCGAGACACTCTTTGAATATCGTCTTGAAAGAAATTCGGTTTGGTACTGGCAATGCCATCTATCGTCAGGTAAGTGCTAACGAGTTCCTACTTCCGAATTTGTGCAAGTAAAATATTTGAATTTTTATAATAATGAATTAGGAGTGACCTGAGAATTTACTTGCAAACGATCATAGACTATTCGCTCTCTTAAAGTCGAATTGCATAATTAGCCAAGTTAGTCGTAGAGCCAAACTATGCTGCGAACGTTTTCTCACTCTACCGAAAGCTCTAGTCGACTTGACGCACTCGCTACAATAAAATGCTCGTCAGAATGCTAGCCAGAACGCATGATAGCTCGCTAAAATGCTCTGGCCATTTTTCTATAATGTGACTGGTTAAGTTTATTACCACGTTTATTTTAAATTGCCTAAATCGTGTTCTTGATTTCTTGTCTCATTTTGTAGAAATAACAATACACGTAAATTTATTTGAAAATAACATCAGTAGTCTTAACTTATCGCTTATCGGTATAACAATTAACTGTGCGCAATGCCAAATGAAGGAAATGTTTCTCAATTCCAGATAGACGACACTTCTCTGCAATGTGTAACTTGCAACAAGTTACTGGTTCCCGATAAGTTAACCGCACACTTCGATGACGCTCAGCATCGCGAACTTTATAACAAATGTCGCATCCTTACTAACGGAATAGATCACGAAACAGAAGCCAAAGCCATAAAGGAAGAACATCAAACAGCTGGAGGTTCACCAACTATTGAGTTTAAAAGTGGATTAAAACAATCGAACATCGACGCAAATAAATCCGCCGAAAGCAAAACTAAAATACTTGAATCGTTAACAAAATATCAAAGCGCAGGAATCAATATTAATTTGGAAAGAGAAACGGCTTACTGTAAAAAATGCTCTGAAGTAGTTGAATTCAACTATGCAAATATAGAAAAGCATATAACTGACCATTCCACAAACGCACCAGTTGATACTACTTTGCAATATCCTTCAAATCCGGACCAAAATTTGAATAGAGTCGACATAAACGACAAGACTGCACAGCGGTCCGAAATAAATGATGAAATTGAGAGCAAAATAAAAGCATTGCAAGAGAATTCAAATGAAAAGGTTAAATCAGACGAAGACGGAGACAGCAGCAATGAGATAGTTGAAAACGAAAAGGAATTTGCAAAAATTAATAAAATAACTTACAATCAGAATAACAAGCAGTCGTATTGTCGAGTCTGTAAGGTTCACTTGCCGGCTAACTTGAAGTCGATGAAAGAGCATGTTGGAGGAGCGAATCACAAGAAACTCGCTGACTCCTCTCCGACATCCAAGTGCCAAATACAAAGTCCTACAATGTTAATAAAGAAGAGAACTGGAGATTTTATTGACTCACTTTACGATGTCAATAGCCTGTTCGATAGCCTTTCCATTATTAATGAGGAATACTGTGTCACCAAAAACAGTTTAGTATTTTTGACGGCAATCAATTCGAGGATGAGGTGCCTATTATGCGAAGTGACATTACCCCCGTTTTCTGACACAGATGATCATATTAAGACAAGAAGGCACATCACCAAATTTCTTGAAGTCCCAGTCATTGTGTCGGTGGAAAACGAATTTATTAGAGAGGTAAGTCAGCTTAATATTGAACCTTTTAAATCATTGACGGCGTGTTTCATGGTCCCTAGTCCCTATGTTTCCTTTCAGCTTGTAGTATGTAGCTGCTTATGAATAACGAGCTAGTCTTGCGCGGCTCCTATTGATAGCAGCATGATCTTATGTAGCCTATAGCCTTCCTTGATAAATGCACTATCTAACACAAAAAGATTTAGTAAAATTTAAGTAATTCTGGAGATTAGCGCGTTCAAACAAACAAACAAACAAACAAACTATAAATAAGATTTAAAAAGTGGGAAGAATAAGACTCTTTTCTTAATTTCGTGTTAATTTCTCAGATGCATCCGGGCTTATACCACTGTGCGTATTGTGAGCTGGTCATAACCGGCTGGGCAGACATGGAAAAGCACTTGAAGTGCTCGGACCACCACGACAACAGGAGGAAAGGGGAACAACGTTTGATTTCACGTCTACCAGGTTTACAAAACTATAAATTAGAGAAGGCAATTGAAGCTATGGCTATAAGAAGGCTTTTCAACATGTTTTAAACCAAAATTTGTTTATTAAAATACCTAAATAAACTAAGTAGGTGTATGACCCGATATAAAGAAATCAAAAGGACAGTTATTTATAATGTTAAAAATCAATTACAATTATATTTTTATAATTTTAGTTGTCTTACGATTCATTAAAATGGCATCTATGTCTCTTCTTTAGCATTTGTTTCACCGTTACTGATTTATTTTCCGTATTTAATTGATGCATATTTTCACTCGTTTCATATGAAAAATAAATGAAAATTATTCTCCAATTACACGAAAGATACGGAAATTAAACCAGATGTGGTGTTTGGCGTTGAACTTATTTTTTCTTAATAATATTTTTACTTTTATTTTCTTTAAGCACTAATTATGTTGTTGACGTCGATAATTTACAATAGGGATTATGACTCGGTAAAAATAGTAAATGTCGAAATAATCAAACGTTACCTTTAACCTGTTGAAATATCATCCCCTAAATTTGTTCATACAAAAGTAGTCTCTAAACATCGGAAATAAGGTATATAATGTAGTTAGTGGAGAGCGGTAATTGAGTCGCCTTTCAGTGTTTAGGTGTTTGGTACACTTGTAAATAAGGGTGCGTCCACATCGGATGATCAGCAACGCACTCGTGACGCCTCTCAGAAGAATGTGCATAATCTGCGGTAACCGTTAACGTTGTGACAACCCATAAAATTTGTTACTACTGTATCGCCCGAATACTGAAAGGGTACTAAATTTTAAGTTCTACTTACATATCTTACCATCTCTATCATTTTAATTATATCAAGAATTTGTATTGACAGAAGTGACAGAAGTAGGTATACTTAAGCGCGAGTTAAAATTGAGTAGCGTTTGATTGAGTATTTCAGCGTAAGTTGAGTCTTCGAAACAAGATTTTAAGTCTTAGTCATCGTCCCTATTTATATTGATTACCGTAAAATGGGATGGATAGGGATCAAGTAGTGAATAGAGACAGAAGAGGGGGGTGAATATATATTGGGAAATTTTTCATAATATCGATTTTTACATCTCTTCTGCCCCTATTTACCTCTCGATTCCTATTCACCCCATTTTACCGTTATTATATTATAAGCGCAGGGTGATACAACGCTACCGAAAACACAGACAATCTTCACAATTTATTTCTCATACATTTGTGTTTTCGTGTTAAATTGATGCAACTGATGCCTTGAGCAGTTGATCACAAGTAATTTACATAAACAATAGTTATTTACTATCACCTATTTTCGGGAGTGTTTCACCTGCATTCTAATTTTTAGTGCCTGTAAGTTGGACTATTACAACGTCTTTATACCTTAAGAAATAAAGTTAAGTATTTTCTTTGTTTTACAACTTTTGACTAACTATTTTCTACAATTTTACTTTCGATATTATTTAAGATTTTAATATGTAAGTGAACTATAAATAAATATTGTATTATTGCATCTATTCTTGTTTTATTTTCGGAAAAGGGATCTAAGCAAGGTGCTTGAATTACTTTTATGGAAAATACAGAGCCGCGGAGGACCTAAAGGGTTGCCGGGAGTCCGGCTCAAATTGCAGAAGTAGGAACGCGGTGAGTTTTTAGTCAGTAAGAGCCTGACACTCCCTCCCGCCTCACCCAGGCGGGAAGAAGTCATTGGATGATTTTCTCTCCTCAAGAAAGATGCTCGAAAATGCTCGTGCGTCAAATCGAAATTTAAATAAATCTATATTGTAATTAGATACGTCTTTCCAAGTTGCCTAATTTTTGGTGTGAGTTAGGGTCAACTCACACCGAAAGAGCGACGAAGGGCAGCGAAGCGGAGCGCAGTTTCAGTTTCATATGAATTTTAACTTTATTATCATTACCATAATACTTATTATCGTATTAGAAACTCGAACGAATCGCGCGGATGCCCGCGGCGCCGCAGGAATTCCCGGGAATTCCATAAACGGAGCCGAGCGACTGCGTGAGAAGTTACGGGAAGTCCCGAGAATGTTCGAGCAGTCACGAGCGGCCGCTGGCAATATCCCCCCCTCGTGCGCGATTCGTGCGCGCGACGGCGCGAGCATTCGCATTCATTCCTTTCAGTGCAACAATACAGAAGTGATGGAAGATGAAGAAAAGCTTATTTGTTTGGTGCAAGTTTCCTCCAGTTTTGTTGAAATTGAACTGCGCATAGGAGAGCGACCCATGAATTCATCGCGGGTGGGCTCGGAAAGGCGCGCGGGTTCCCGCGACTGCTCGAGAAGTCGCTGGAATGCTCGAGAAGTCGCGGGACTACGTGACTCCGCGCTTCGCTGCCCTTCGCCGCTCTTTCGGTGTGAGTTGACCCTTACCCAGGCCAGATGTTGTCGAAAATGGTCATTTGAATCTTATAGATAATTAGTTTTTTAATTATTTTACAAAAACATTTTCTGCTGGGGTAACGTTACCCCAGCCTTTTTCTTTCTAATGGGAATATTTAAATAATTACTAGCTATAAAATTATTTACAGCATAGACAAACGAGCAGATGGATAACTTGACGGTAAGCGATCAGCGCCGCCCATGGACACCTGCAACACCACAGAAGTTCAGATCATAACTGTCACTTAACTAAACATTACTAAGCGTGATGCAGCCCCTAACCTAACCCCTATCTTGTACTGTTAGTTGTCACTTTTAGGTTGATGTGTTTCTTAGCCTGGGTACCTTATAATGAAGGAGAGGTAAGTGAAAACAGGCATTAGTATCCTGCATTATAGGAAGCTGAACAGATTCTTATATGAGAATAGTATCTAGGGGAAACTTAGTTTAGTGTAAAATTTGAAAAATAAAACGCAAAATATTTCAAGATTGTTTAATCAATCTTACTTCTGTCCCCTTTTATCATTATATGGGAAACAAAAGGCCTACACACTATTTGTCAACTTAAGTTTAACGCAGTACAAAAAGGAATAATTTTAGACTCTTATGAGTCGGATAATGGCCAGCCATACACGTACATATCAGATACAAATGCCATATAGAAAAGAACTTGTATGCACACGTCTTACTTACACATTCGTAACTTATAGTAACAGAAAACGCGTTCGGCGCTCAGAGTGCCAAGCACGAATAACTATCGCAATCGTATCGTAACAGTACCGAGCGCATTAAGCGTTCTGATTGGTTGGTTCACTTAAGCTGGCCAATCAGCGCCGAACGCGCTCGATACTATTACGTTACAATAGCTATAGTTATTCGTGATTGGCAGCCAGATTGGCCGGGTTCAATGAACCAACTAATCCGAGCGGCGAACGCTGTCTTGTTTCGATAACTTTAAACATATAACAAACTCATACTAAGGCCTCTGTTAGGCTTATTAGAGATAAAATGATGGCTACTGTTTTTACATTCACCAGACCTTTCCGTCTATTCATCCAATTGATGATTCCAGTTTTGACTTCTACAGTGATTAGACAAACTGACCAATGCTAAATTATCGCCATTTGGTGTTAGGAAAAACGGTAGGCCGCATTTTAATACACTACCTATGTCAAAATATCACCTATATTAAGTAAATTTCGAGAACGATTTTTTCATATCGAACCTGGCCTTTAGTAAAATGTCTGCATACAAGCATTCAATTTGTAACCACGAGATCACAAGACCCATTCAAAACTACTCCAATATTTTGATAAATTTAAAGTCACAATATATACAAAATAAACATTCGTTCTCTACAGCTTGCACATCACAGATCAAAAAGCAAGATACAGTCGATCGCACATCATTAGAACATAAATTAAGCAAAAATAGTGCTTACTACTTATGAAATAAAAAATAATATGTAATTGGAGGTTTTCTATTGGTGTGCGCTCGACTGTTAGAGGCGTATTGTTTAGTGTTTTTTATATATTTTACGAGAATTACTATGTAACACGTCTTCTATCCTGCGTATATTAATGTTATTATACAATCTAAAACGCATTTATGTTGCAAGTACCATCAGTGCAAGTGGGCAAGACAATTTATTATTGGTTTTTTTATAAACGTGGCGCCACACTAGGATTTTCTCCTGTGTCGTGGGTGTATTTACAAACATACAAGTTCACATACACATGATGCACAGACCCGGAACAACGATTTGTGGATCACACTAAGAGTTGCTACTTGCGGGAATCGAACCCGCGACACGTTGCGCGGCAGCCGGTTGCCCAAGCACTGCACCAACCTATCGTTATGTATCGGGCATAATTCCAGACTCCTATTAAAGAAATATTCTCAAAAATATACGTAAACACTAAACAATAACCCAATACAACTCAACTTACAGCTGCATGCAGTAATTTGGCTACAAAAAAATTTGCCAATTATTTCAATAATATTTTTTTGTGATTCACGCCCGAATACTGAAACGCTACGCAACTTTAAGTTGTACTTCAATATCGTGGGGTCTCTGTCATTTTACAAATAATTTGTAGGGACAGAACTATACTAAAGCGCGACTTAAAATCGAGTGGCGTTTGAGTATTTAGACATTAGTCTCTAAAAATATCATGAGACTATTAAAATAAAAGTTGGAGTATTACACTACTGCTAAAACGTTATTTGGCTCCAATCTTTGAGCAAATTTTTTACTATAAAAAACTATGGACGATAGAGGTATGGGACACACCCTCATGTGGAAGATAAGTCGAAAAAGTGTCCAACAGCGCTAGTGTAGCAAGTAAAAAAAAAACTGGTACTAAATACAGTGAAAACCACTCCACTATTTGTGTGGTTAACATCCTTGTTTACATCACAAAGTACACTTATATGACCAAAATTAGGAACTAATCTCCAAAAACTTTGGATCACTCAAGATTTTTGACGGAAAATCAACAGAACTTACATCAAAAATCGATTAAAATCCAAATATTAAAAAAAAAACAAAGAAATTAAAAGAAAACAAATACCATTTATTCATACACGTTGAGATTGTTGATTAATTTTGGCCGATATACACTTTGAAATGACTCATTTACTACAGTAGCGACATCTGTGCAGGTCGAATTTCGACGGGCACTTTTTCAACGCGATCGTCCTTACTTCTACCGTCCATATATAAGATAAAGATCACAATATGTCGTATGAAAATGTAACTACATATCACTTATCCAAATTGTTTAAATATATATCTATAGCTAAACATGTCTTCACCCTGGCAACATAAAAACTTAAGCTATAGGGACGTCCAGCAGTCACTGCCTTATGCTATTACAGTTTGTTTATTTGTTTGAACGCGCTAGTAGATATGGATAGCCTATTTACCGAGGAAAGCTATAGAAAAACTATCGTGAGACATACTAAATTAACTAAAAATGGCGGGTTACTCACGTGGAAGTACTGAGAAAAGCTCAACTAGTTCCGAACCACAGAGGGGTTATTCCTCATGAATAACACCGACGCTAGCGCCAATACTAGCTAGTAGGCTGCGCGACATTGCCGCGACCGCGCACGCTGCTCATGAGGAAGAACCCCTCTGTGATTCGAAACTAGTAGAGCTTTTCTCAGTACTTCCACGTGAGTAACTCGCGATTTTTAGTTAAGGCTATAAAACATTACGCTACGATTAATAGCAGAGTGGATGGAACCGCGCAGAGTAGCTAGCAACATAATTTGATATCCTACTATTTTGAAGCTTCAAGCTTTATATGGTTGTATTGCTAGTTTAACATCTAATATAGATAGCTGTCTTAGTTTCAAAACGAGTGATCATGCGACAGTTTGGTTTATCAATTAACAACACTAAGACAAAAACAATCGGTTGTTAAGGTTATATTTCACTAGAACACCATGGCGGTGCAACCAGTAGCGCCACCGTTAGCGAGTGACTGACACACATTCAAGCGGTATAATAAATAGTGGTGGCGCGACCAGTGTTGTAGCATTTGAACTGGAGGCGTCGCCAGATTGGTTGCGCAACCAATTGAGCACCAGGTGAATTAATTTCTACAGAGCTGTATATAGTTTGGTGGTCACGGCGACGATTACGCCGCCATGGTGTTCCACTGAAATAAAGCCCTTATACTTTAGCTTTAGCCCTGTTACTTTAGCTGCCAGTCTAAAATCGTATCAATAAATTAAATAAAAAAGGTATCATCCACACTAAGTGTTACAAACTCCCATACATAATTATATGTGAAAAAAAAAACACATTCATAAGTTAACTACAACTAAAAGTCGACTCTATTGACATTATATAAAGTTTTAATTTCATTTAGTTGTTTGAGCTATGTACTGTTGAACGTCCCGGACGTACCTGTGTGTAGAACCCAGGTGGTCGTAATTACAACATTTATCATATCATACTCCACTGAATATTGTACTCCCCTTTATTTTGGGCATAAATAAATGAAAAGGAATGATGTAAAACCTATTTAGGTAAACATAAACTACGTGAATTATCGTGAGTATGAGCAAGTATCGATATATCCTATAGCTGTCAAAATAATAAGGAAATAACGTATTTTTTTTAAGTATTAGACACGTATTTTGTCTGTCAGTGTACTGTCAGTGTTGATAGCCAAATAACATTTAGCGCTTGTCTACCGAGAGTAGAAAACTAAATTTCACGGGATTGAGGTACATTTTAACACTTTTTAATGGGACTTCTCCCGCCTTGGGTAAGGCGAGAGGGAGTGTCGGACTCTTACTAACTGAAAACCATTTCGTTTCTACTCCTGTTCTTCTGAGCTGGAGCCCCGGCAACCGGTTGTTTCATTCCCATACATTTAGTTTTCTATTTTCTCGCTAAGACAAGCGCTTAAATGACATCTCGTAGCTCATAGCATAGTTAAAATTCTTAAAATTGCTAAAGTCTCAGAGGACTTTGGTCAGCAGTGGCCACTTATAGGCTGTATATGTGATTAGTGTAATATTACAGAGCAATAAGATTTATTCATCATTCCTTTTTTACACGTTTCTAAGTTGCATATAGCGCCGACTTATCGCTTTGAATGTCAGCACTAAGGAAGCTATGTACAGATACGAAATCAAGTTTAAATTATCACCAGTCAATCCGTATGTATGAGTACAAAGCTAAACAAAACTGTCCAATTTCTATCATTTTCAACTTTATAATTTCGTTTTTAAGAGTGAAAGACGTTTGACAGTTCCATACAACATAAGGTTTGAAGCACTGCTAAATACAAACATGTTGAGACAATTTTCAGCCTTACACTTAAGTATTTATGGTCGAAAATTATTTAACAGTCTAAATCTGACAAACATCTTTAGACCATTTCTAGCTTTATACTTCAATGATTTATAGTCGAAAATAATTTGACAGTTTTGCATAGCTTGCATACTTTCGACCGGTTTAACATGCAGCCCAAACGATTCCACATGTTCATTCAGGGAATCGAATCTGGAAATTCAATGCCTTGCTCAATGCAGCCCCATCGAGTTACAGTTTAAAGAATATCTTTGGTCAATATAAATGTGTTTGATAGGAATATGAACTCTATATGCATAGGTAAATGGTTTCATTTGGATTGATTACCAATTGATTGGTAAATATGACAATGTAATGTTATAAAGAGAAAAATATGTTTGTTCACCTTCGAAATAGCTTTGCAATACCAATTAACTATATCTAGTTATTTACATTTATATGTCGTCCGAGGAAAAACTATCGGATATTTAAAATAATCAAAACCGATAATTTCAAAGATGATATTTTATGAAAATCGCATTCTACACCATTGCTACGATAAAAAAACACGATAAACATGTTTTAAACGCAAAGATATGATGTCTATATCACCATAATTTTACTCAAAAACCTACTTTATTCTTTATTAACTAGATTCTATTTTTCAATTATCGAATCCAAAAAATGGATACACATAGAAACGAACCAAATTCTCATGACAATAAAGTTCAAATTCGCTTATCTTGGCCGTATTGAGATAAGAGATAAAGCCCTACATAGTTTACGACAATCTAAGAAACTTTATTTTATAACCTTTTGCCCAAAGGGACAAGCACAGGCTGATATTCTATATAAATAATGTTTTTACGATATTTTTCGGAGTAACCCGACTCGTTACGAGCCAAACCGGAGCTTATAATTATTGAAAAACGGTGAACGTTATATAGCTAAAGATTATGAGACCCGGTGTAGCTCGAGAATAGTTGAGCATGTTCGAAAATAGTATGTCAGTAAAAACACTACTTAGTTAACACTAAATAAATATAGGTGATGATATTTATTTATTACTTGGTTCTAGTAGTGGGGTGTTCATGTTGAACTTGTGTACGTTGTGGCAGACGTCTTCTAGTGCTGAGGCGGAGGCGTAGGGCTCCGCTATACGCACGGCTCGGGTTTTGCCCTCCGTGTACACGTGGATAACGCCCCACTGCCGCAGTAGACGGAGGCAGTTGCGGATAGCGTCTGTAGACACTGCTTCGCCTGTAAAAGTTATTTATATATTACAAACAAGCAAACAAACAAAAAATCAAATCTTTCCTCTTTATAGTATTAGTTTAAATAAAGAGCCAATATCAATGGGACCGTAGCCCGTGTAGACGCCTTAGACGGAGATATATCCACCAGATTATCAAAGAAAGGCCAAATTAAAAGCACCCTTAACCGACGAGCATGCACGAAAAGACAGGAATATTGTTGAAGCGAAACAGGTATGTAAGATTTGTAGCAATTGGCGTTCCATAGTCTGTCTGTCATGGGGGACAACTAGAACACAAATTTCCCATCTACTTAGTCACAAATAAACTTACCGTAGAGCATTTTATTTTGTGTAAAGTCTTCAGTGAGTGAGTCGAGTGAGTTCTTGACGACATCCTTCATGGTCCCCGCCTGTAGGTGGCGGCACGTGACTGAGTACGCCTCCAGTAGCGGCCGGAGCGTTAGGAGGAGTCTTTGCCTGGAAATAACAAACAAATATATGAAGTATCATGTCAAATTATCTGTCTAAGATGGAACTACTTTATCCACGTTATTCCTCATTAAAATTACCATTTTACAATAATAAAGAGTTAACCATCGACTGAGTTTATCGAATGTAACCATATTTTCAACTCATATCATAATGACAGGGTATGAAAATGAAAATGTAACAAGTTAGGCAATGAAAAATGCTATTCATATTAGAAAACATATTAGATAAAACTAATCAAAGTTTAGGAGTGGTAGCTAACCACGTCATTTTTGAGTATAAAACGTACCAAAAAAGTGACGTCACGCAATATTCTAAATCAATATGTCGTCGAAAGTGTTTGTTTTCGTAAGAAAATAAAAAGTCAGGTCTAATATTTTAAAATAATCTACCAGACGGACATTAAAATTAGTCTTCTACCCTATTGAGAGGTTGGTATTTAGCCAGTAAACAAGCAGATGGATTGCTTGATGGCACTGCCAATGGACACCCGCAACACCAAAGGAGTTACAAGTACGCACTTGTAACGCCTTTTAGGTAGTCAGGGATTTAAGGACTCCAGATAGGGAACGGGGGAGGATTAGGTCTTCCTATATCCTCACTCATAGGGCTATACACAACGTTGTTTGTTTCTAGTCTGTTTCCAGTATTACCATGATGTGCCGACCCATGTGAGCCGAAGCAGGTATCTTACTAATATTAAGTTTGAGTGAGTTTATATGTATGTTTGCAACTCAATCACGTTAAAACCGCTGAAACGATCGGGATAAAATTTAAAACAGTGATAGATTATGGTCTGGAAAAACACATGTGCTACTTTTTGTACCATGGGACCGCAGGTGAAGTAGAAGATAAAAGCTAGTATTAATACCTCTCGGCGACGGCTTCAGGTTTGTCGGAGACGGTGTAATGGACCCGCTCGGTGGGGTCGGGGCGGTCGTCGTCGTCGTCGCCCTCGAGGCGGCGCGCCATGCGACGCGACCATTGCTGCTCCTCTAATACCGCATCCGACTGGAAATTCAATGTTTTATGAATTAAATAACGGTGTAGTAATAGTTATCTTCTATGAATATAATATTTATTTGTATTCTTCTTATATTTTGTTTATATTCTGTGTATATTTAATTGTATTTTAATATGTTTTTAATCGGTTTCAATATAAAGAAGGTTTCCAGTTTGACCGGCTTGTATTTTTGTCCACAATTATCTCGCGATTGGCCGAAGTGATTTTGATGTCATTTTCAGAAAATTGTTTGTTAGAGTTAGGAGATCATTTTAATATATTAATTAACCGACTTCAAATAAGTGGATCCCCACTTATTTGAAGGTCAGTTTTTTAAACGTTGTTTATAAAAGAACTATTACAATAATTATTTATTACATAACATATATCTACTATATAAAAATAAGTCGAATTTTCCTTCCTGTCGCTATAACTCCAGAACGCACGAACCGATTTCCACGGTTTGCATTCGTTGGAAAGGTCTCGGGCTCCGTGAGGTTTATAGCAAAGAAAATTATTTTATCACTAAACGAAATGTTACATAAAACGAAGCCATCTGGTGGCGAAACGGAGTTCGCCGGGTTTGCTAGTTTATAATAGTAATACCATGTACTAAACTTAACAATAACAACTTTTGCAACGACATTTAATATAATATTGGCC